CTCCTGCCTCAGCCTCCCGAGTAGCTGGGACTACAGGCGCCCGCCACCACGCCCGGCTAATTTTCTTGTATTTTTAGTAGAGACGGGGTTTCACCATGTTAGCCAGGATGGTCTCGATCTCCTGACCTCATGATTCGCCCGTCTCGGCCTCCCAAAGTGCTGGGATTACAGGCTTAAGCCACTGCGCCCGGCCCTAAATTTTTGTATTTTTAGGAGAGATGGGGTTTCACCATGTTGGCCAGGATGGTCTCAATCTCTTGACCTCGTGATCTGCCCGCCTCGGCCTCCCGAAGTGCTGGGATTACAGGCGTGACCCACCACGTCTGGCCTAACTTTTGTATTTTTAGGAGAGATGGGGTTTCACCATGTTGGCCAGGATGGTCTCGATCTCTTGACCTCGTGATCCCCCCGCCTCAGCCTCCCGAAGTGCTGGGATTACAGGCGTGATTGATGTTCCCATTTTTTACACGTTGACTTTTGGAATGGGAAGTGCTCTGTGCAAAGTCACCGTGGTTTTGTCACTAACATTCAGGTTTGCAGATGAGATGAGCACTCCTAAATCCACTTGTCACTGGTGACCGTCTTGTTAGCACTGGCAGAATCCTTCTGCATCTGAATGGGGTTTTCCCCGTTCGGACCAGGGAGTCAAGTTCTAAGAGGGAAAGGGTCAGCATTCCTTAGCCTCAGTCTCCCAGGAGGAGTAGGTTTCTTCTCTGTCATTTGATTGCCTTGGGTGGCATAAAGTGTGTCATCTTCCTAGTCTGGGAGACACGTAGAGTGGGCCCTTGGCGAGAACTTCTGAAATGCCTGGGATAAGTTAGGAGGCGGGAGTTAGGTGGACTAGGTGTCAGCCTGTTCCCACAGGTAGAAAAACTGGTACTGAGTTTTGAGTTACTGACCACCTCTCTAAGATGAGGCCTCGTGTCAGACTCCTGGGTGAGAACGTGTGTTTGATTAATGTACGTGTCAAAGAAAATTTAGAAAATGCAGAGCAGGTTGGGCGCGGTGGCTTATGCCTGTAATCCCAGCACTTTGGGAGGCTGAGATGGGTGGATCCCCTGAGGTCAGGAGTTCGAGACCAGCCTGGCCAATATGGTGAAACCCCATCTCTACTAAAAATACAAAAATTAGCCA